GGGCCGAGTCAGGTGTAGAATATATTTTATGAGGTGGGCCTGATGTAGACACATGGTGGCATATTACGGGAGTCCACCTCCGAACTCTGTATTGAAAATTTTTCTCCAACTTAGAGGCTTCCGTCTGTTCAAGGTCTTTCTCTATTTTATGTATGGGAGTAGGATTCTATTTTCAGAGTATGGGAGAGACCTTCAGACAATCGAGTTCACTCAATCGTGCGACTATGAGAGGTTTCCTCAATTGGACAATATTCCATGAACATTTAAGTTTTTTAGCGATGTCAAAATTGAATAATCTTAGACTCGTTGGGTTTGTCTTGCTGAGACTCGATTTGACCATATGTCTGTCAAACAAATACTCCCATTAGGTGTTATTATGTTTGTCTCGTCAAGCCAGTCGGATTGCTTATAAGTTTATTGAAATCAGAATTTTGGATAAATTTAAATTGATACTTAAACATTCGTTGCTTAGAAGATTATCTCTAGATTCGTGTAATATATTGAGATTCATGTCAGATCATAAATTTTTTTTGGTATCAAATATCATAATTTCAATTTCAACGATTTCTATCATCAATAAACCTTATAAGCTTGATTAGTTGTTATAATCATAATTAAAAATAAATGCATGAATTTACCATTTGCCCTTATTAAGATATGAAGCATTAGAAGTTCTATCATCTCATAACATTAATTCTCATATAACATACAACATAACAGTCAAACAACTACCCATAATTTTCAACAAATGTCGTACAATTTTTTCATATTTATAAAAATAAATAAGAGGCAATTACATACAAAGCGCCTTAAATATTACTATTTATAAATCAAGCCTTTTTTTTAAACTTCTCACGCAAATATCAAAGTTCATGAGCAAATCTCATTCCATTTTGTTTTATTTTTATCAAATTCTCAATAATTTGAACATGAGTACATAAATTTTATAATTAAAAAATTAATTGTTATACTTGATTTTATAAATATCAATATTTATGATGTTTTTATGCAATTATACCTATGTTTGCTCATGGTCCAAATTATTCAAGTTGAGCTGGCGTCCGCTCAAAAATGGCTCAAATAGAGTTATTGCAACTTGTGGCTCGTTATATTTGATTTCGAACCGGTGAGTCGAGCCTGATCCTGCTCGAAATCGAAACGAGCTGCCTCTAATAGAGTTATGTGGATATGTTTCAATTCGAAATCAGCTCGATCTGACCCAAAATTAAAACCAAATGACTCAAATTGAGTTATTCAAATTCTTTCTAACTTAAAATCAACTCTATCTTAAATTTTACAAAACATTATTTATGTTATTTTTATAAATAAAAATATTATAAATTGATCTTGAGTCAGTTCGAACGTATCCATGTAGAACTCAAAACCGACTTAAGAAAATTAATTTAAAATTTCAAGTCATCACATATGACTTGTTTATTTTAATATCATCTAATCCGAGCCAAAATTTGAGTCAATACTCGTGAGATTAATCATGTTATTGCTAAATTGGCTAATTATACTAAAAAGAAAAACAAAAAGGAGAATTTACATACGTAACACCCAATTTTTATGTATTTATTTATCTCAAATCTAAATTTAATTTTTTACGTCGAAGACATTGTAGTTATGAAAATGATGTAATTCACTCTTATATATATTTACAAGCAAAAAAAAAAAGTATTTAATTTATAAAAATTAAAATATAAGTGAGAAATAAGTGAATGTTCCATCTAGGTAAATTTCGGTAAAAGAAAAGATAAAAAAAAAGGTGAATATTGCTGTGCTAAAGACGGCACAATTATTCCTTCCCCGTCCCATCCCGGATTCCGGATTCCGGGTTTCGGATTTCAAACGCTTCTCTCTCACGTCTAACGCCGCGTCTGACCAGCAAGAAGCGAAAAAGAGAGAGAGAGAGAGCGCGCGCGAGGAAGGCGAAGCCAACGCTGCAAGTAGAAGCACTGAAACGCCTCTCTGCTCTCTGTCCTCCCTCTTCCTCGACTGATCAACAAACCTCTCGTTCTTCTCCACCTGTTCATCCCACTCTCTCTCTCTCTCTCTCTCTCTCCCCTCAATTCTTCTCGCCGTCTTCCTTGACCAATCCACATGTCCAGCGCAATTGAAAAGTAAGTCAACAAGACAGTAGAGGGTTGTTGAAACTAGGTATTTCGCCGCGATTCTCGACTGAGCAGCGGTGCTGCTGGCCTGAGGAAGTGAAAAACCCTAGATCCTTTTGCCCCTTTCACCGGACGTCGAATTGACGTGGATCGGATGAGCTAACTAGGTTATACGATTCTTCGAGTTTATTGAGAGGAGAAGGGCGAAGGACGATGATGGGGTCGAGGGGGCTTTTTGGGTGGTCACCACCCCACATGCAGCCGCTCACGCCGGTATCAGAGGTGTCGGAGCCGCCGGAGTCTCCATCACCCTACATGGATTATGGCGTGGAAGCGGTGCCGTTGGGGGGCGA